AATCAATTCCCTCCTCGACCGTAAGTTACTAAACCTTTGTTATCTTAAGTACTAAGTAGAAGGCTAATTAATTCAGAAATCGATTCCGGCGCAATTCGTCTACCTTGATCGTTTACGGCCAATAGTGAGTAATTATTTCTTAAAAAGATTGCTAAATGATTTCGCGAAATATTTCATGGATTATTTCAGGAATTATTTTAGGTAATTTGTGGTTTTACTCCAATCAATTTGGGGAACAATTTGTGAAATGATCCGGGATTTATTTCCTAATTCGTTTTGTGAATTATTACATGAATCATTTCGACAAATATAGTATTTTCTGGGAATTGATTCAAAAAACATTTTGCAAAACGTTTTGCGATTCAGTTGCTGATTTGTTTCAAAGGTTGTTTCTCGACGTCATTCCAGATTCAATTGACAAATCATTTCTTGAATTATCGATTTCGTCAAAAGTAAGTAATTCAATTGACAAATCATTTCTTGAATTATCGATTTCGTCAAAAGTAAGTAATTAATTCTTAAAACATTTCGCGAATTCTTTTATGATTTGTTTCTCGAAGGGGAGGGTAAAAAGTTGTATTACTGGAATCGATTTAGCAAATAATTGTTGAAACGATTTCGGTATTTCTTTTGGAGATAGACGGCAAAATCTCTCGCGAGCAATTAATTCGTAAAGCGATTGTAGAATTAATTGTGTTATTTGTTTTCTCCTTATAGAAAAAGGAAGACGGCCGGAATCGATTTGCTAAATGATTTAGGAAACAATTCCGCGCAATGGCTATGGAACAACCTCAACCTATTAATTACGATGAGCGTATCCGGACACAGGTACCTCAGGGAGAGTTGTTTCGTCAATACGAGCCGTTCCAGAATCTCGAGGCTTTAGTTGAAGCACCTTTTGTTGGCCCCCGGGTAAGCAACTAATAGAAATATATATATATAGTAGTTACTAATATTTCTAAATAGCCACTAGGAGTAACGCAAATTACGCCAGGTCGACACCGGAGGGACGGTATTACTGTCTCTATGATACAGGACTCTATTGTCCTCCCGCAGTATCCACAAACGGACCAAGCAGGATATGCCTATTGTATTAATATAGGGGGTATACCTCGTGAAGGGGCAAGAATGCCTGAAAATCTGCCGATCCAGGTAAGTTGAATAAAGCCCGAATTAATTCCTCAATTGATCCCTGATTTGGTTCCGTATTTAATTCGCTAATCAACTTGAAAAGCACCAATACGCCGCGAGACGAAAACCAGGGTATCCAAAGGATACGACATGTATATACCTTGGAGGAATAAGGGCGACGCGGTATAAGTGGACATGTAGTGGGATTAAGTATTGCGAGTACTTTGATCCTACTATAGCAACAGCTCCACATACTCGCGTCGGACACGAATATTGGGAGAATCAAGGACGAACAAGACAATATATCGATCCAACGGAACCAAATATTCTTATTCGGAATAGTAAAGCTACAATCGCCGCAGCTTGGGATCGGCTTAAGAAGGGTATCGCGTGTCGGCCGCAAAATGATACATGTCGACTAGAATGGGAGTGGTGTGAACGAGTAAGTCCTATCTCTTCAAGAATTGATTCGCGATCTAATTCTTAATTTAATTTGATTAGGCTGCCGACGGTGATGGAAGCCGTAACGGATTTCTCAAGTGCCGTAACCGACCGCCAAATGGAGCCCTAGTAGACGACCAACCCGAGGTACACTTTCGCGAAGCAGTTTGGCAAAATCAACAAAAGAATGTCGAGTTATTTCCAGAGTTACTTCAAGAGCTCTACGATCGCGAGGCCGAAGGTGAGGGAGATATCCCTCCCGCAACCTGTACAATCCACGAAAACGTCGCAACTAGACTGAAACACTGCGGTAAGTTAACTATATTAAATCGACATTTAATTCCTCAATTGATGCGATAATTAATTCGATAACTAAGGGGTCCTTCACTCGAATACTACACGGGGTCGTCTTATTAGGGCGGGTTGCAATGTCGTCTTTAACCTTATCGTACCGCAGAACCTCGACAATCCCAATCACCGCTATGTTATTTTCACGTCACACGGGATCCATAGCCACCTACCTCCTATCCCTAATCGGACGCCAAAGGAGTTTGCGGAGTCTGTACGTACTGTCGTAAGGCAGGCGCAGGACGGCAGTGTATCAAACTGTACGTATATTAATTATTGATTTAATTCCAGAATCAATTAACGATTGTAATAATAGCGTCATTCCTTAGAAGCGGCTTCCTTAAGTCCTTCTTCTCTATACAAGGGGTCGACTCCCTTGAGGCGATACATCCTTCTTTTGCAAACAAGTCGCGGATCCGCGCAATGCTCTATTACGAGAAGCTACTTCTCTATCCAGAAGGGACACACTTCGCCGGCGTTGATTTCGAGCTAGCACGTCAGGGGCTAGATCCAGCGACAGTAATTCTCCAATTAAATCTCGAAACGAATCCGGAATCGATTCGCTAATTAAACTTTTAGCAATATATCCGGGGAGCCTGGAATCGCGAGAACGAATCTGCGCAGGTTATCTGCTTTCATAAGCTACAGGCGGAGTGGTTCCTAAATGTTGGTATGTTCGAAATAGATATGAACTTCAAGCGGATCCGCCAAAGAGATATGAATGAGTTAATCTTCGGTGCGCTTATCGAGACGGAGGGTTCAGGTAATACTATTCCAAATCGACTCGTCTATTAATTTACTAATTAATTTAATAGTCTGCCCATTTGCCCGGATATATATGGAAGGGGAGGACGCAGAGTCATATTGTCTCGCATTCCAACGTCTATTCGAATCGCTTTCACAGGTTACTGCTCGCGTAGTACGGTGGAGACATCATAGCCCTGGAGGTAACGGGGAAGGATTCCAGGGAGTCGCGATGGATATGGGGGCAGGACAAATCAAAGGTATAACTAATTCTTGAATTGATATATGAATTGATTGCTAATATAATTATTACCCGGGTAGGCTTTGGGCTATATCTTCAATCTGTCGACCCCGAAGGACGACACTGGGAGTGGCAGGTTAAGAATATCTGCGTCTACTGTCGAATTCACCTACGTCGATCGATTGAAAATGTCGAAGGAGTTGGTTTCCGGACTGAACGCGGCAAAAGAATGATGGATATCCTCCTTGCACAAACACAAGAATCGTACGACGCCATTCTCGAAGAAGTCTCAGGTATGTAATTAATTCGAGGATCAATTCGGCAATCGTTTTAACGATAATAGCTAATATAATTTAGGTTTTAGCACCAGGCACGCTAATTGGGCGAACCATAAGCGCCAGGATGTTATCCGTTCCGGGCTATGTCATGCCTACGCCCAGATGCCGCAATATATATATAAGCGGCTCCGCAACCATACCAATGCTGTTGAACAACTTCATAACAAAACATATTGGTCGGGACTCTATTGCGACTTATTGGTCGCGATATTTCAGTAAGTGAATCCTAAATCAAATCGCGAATTAACTCGCGATTTAACCCGCGATCTAATTAACCCTTTCGGGATATAATTAACCTATAGTTATAATGGATAGATCACGAGCCGCGGATTCCTCTACGATACGAACATTTTATACGCACGCTCTCTTTGGCGTACGAGCAGACGACCGGTCTAACGATAGTGTCGCGAGGAAGAGTCGGGATATGGGGAGGAAACGTAAGTTATTTAACGAATTAATTCAATTTTTAACTAATCGATTCTTTATTTAATTAGAAACCAAGGAGTTTGCTGCGATGAGGCGGCAGCTCGATGTCCGAAGGCACGACAGAGACCGATCGGACGACGATGACTCGGGGAGTTCGTCTAGTAACGACGACGACGACGGGAACGACGGTGATACTATTAGGAATAGTACACAGCGAGCAACTCCTACTCCTAGTACCAACGACAACGATAGTAGGAATACCGCGGACCCAGCAACTCCTATAGAGGAAACACCGCGGAATACCCCTCGATCGTTTAGGATGACAGATGACGAGTTCCAGAATACGCATGATTCTGGTAGGAGAAACAAACGGAAAGGCTCATCCTGCGTTAGTAGCTCTACTACTACGCCTAGTAAGAAGAGTAAGGCGGGGTCCTCTAGATTGAGAGGGTAAGTGAATTGATTCCGGAATTAAATCGCGAATCAACTAACACTACCTAGTACGGTTTCCGCCGCGGAGGAAGCACTACGCCTAGCGAACGAGGAGAAAAGGATTGCACTTGAAGAAAGGAGGAACAAGTTGGATCAGGATCGCGAGAAGGCTCAGCTTCAACTCCGCCGTGAACGTTTAGACCTTGATCGAGAGGTCTATCAGTTTGAACTAAGAAAACGGGGGGTAGGGGATATAGAGCAAATATAGAGGAAATTCAGTTTATTTTGCAAATCAATTTGAGAAATACCTCCCTATCTGATATATAGTAAATACTAGATCGCGATATTAATCGTCAATTAATCTACGAATCGATTCTCGAGCTATATAAATACTTAGGGTATTATTAGAGAACAGGTTCTATATATTTAGGGGGTAAGGGGGGTCAGATATAACTAATATACGCTCTACTAATATTATACAGTAATAATCTAGTTGCTTAACTATTAATACTCGTTGTATTAGAGGGTCTATAAACTTTTTCTCTTTTTCCGATATCTATATTAGAGGGGCAACCCTGCCGTTAAAGAGATACTATAGTAGAGTAAGTACTATAGGGGCGACCCTACTGTTCTAGATTTTAGTATCTAACTTACGTACTCGGGGCGACCCTACTATCCTAGATTTTACTACTACTACTTACGTACTAGGGGCGACCCTACTGTTCTAGATTTTAATATCTAACTTACGTACTTAGGGCGACCCTCCTGTTCTAGATTTTACTACTACTACTTACGTACTAGGGGCGACCCTACTGTTCTAGATTTTAATATCTAACTTACGTACTTAGGGCGACCCTCCTGTTCTAGATTTTACTACTACTACTTACGTACTAGGGGCGACCCTCCTGTTCTAGATTTTACTACTACTACTTACGTACTAGGGGTAACCCTCCTGTTCTAGATTTTACTACTACTACTTACGTACTAGGGGCGACCCTCCTCTCCTAGATTTTACTACTACTACTTACGTACTAGGGGTAACCCTCCTCTCCTAGATTTTACTACTACTACTTACGTACTAGGGGCGACCCTCCTCTCCTAGATTTTACTACTACTACTTACGTACTAGGGGTAACCCTCCTCTCCTAGATTTTACTACTACTACTTACGTACTAGGGGCGACCCTCCTCTCCTAGATTTTACTACTACTACTTACGTACTAGGGGTAACCCTCCTGTTCTAGATTTTACTACTACTACTTACGTACTAGGGGCGACCCTCCTCTCCTAGATTTTACTACTACTACTTACGTACTTAGGGCGACCCTCCTGTTCTAGATTTCACTACTACTACTTACGTACTAGGGGCGACCCTCCTCTCCTATATTTTACTACTACTACTTACGTACTTAGGGCGACCCTCCTGTTCTAGATCTTACTACTCCTACTTATGTACTAGGGGCGACCCTACTATTATAGATCTTACTACTCCTACTTACGTACTAGGGGCGACCCTACT